TATCTCATTATTTCTGTTAATTTTAAGTATTTAAATAACTCCCACAAAGGGAAACCAACTAAAGTGCTGTATGCATCATTGGTATTAGGAAAGAATATCTACCTATCTCCAACAGGTGAGAGTTGCTAAAACCACCAAACACTATGATCGGTATACCACCAAAGGGGCTGTCTGGTTTGAAAATTTGTTATAATCTCGCATCAACAGAGCTAAACATACGAGCACCAACCATCGATATCTCATCAATTATGATTAATTTTAAATTGATAAGTCTGGAATACAATGAATTAACTGTGTCATTGCTAAGTGGCCTCAACTCTATATTCAACTGATTAACAGGCAAAGAGAATATTGAATCCAGGGCCATTCCACCTATTCCGAAGGCTGCTACCTGCGGGTAAAGGTGCGCAAAGAAGAACTTTTAAGGAACTTGGATTGGATCCAGGTGTAGAATTGTAACTATGGTTAAGAGCTTGATGCATTGCAGATATCAAACGACTATTTCCTCACCTGCACCGCCGCCATTGAATTCATAAAATTGGCGATGTTTTTTAGCTGGTTCATCAGATGTGTCAAGTTTTTTCCTTTATATTGATATAGGTATGCTTTTGTATCAATGATAAGAATGATATTCTATTTACTAACATGTATATGGGTGTAGGTAATAATATTCACCCGCTCAAGAAGAGAATAGAAGAAAATTAATAGGAAGATATACCTATTAATATATTTAAGAGACGAATTAAATATTTAATGTTGTATTGTAATTTTGTTGGTTAAGAAAAATAAAGCAAAATCTAGCCCGGCGAAGGCTGTTTACGCTAGTTAACAATATATCATCAAGCAACTCGTGTACATTGGTTCAATTATTTTATAGGAATATAAAATTTCGCTTTATTTTAATTATCTTAACGATGTGTTGCTTGTGCACGGATAATGTTTTGCTTCCAGTGTTATTTCTTCATCAGCCTCAACAATTTCTATTGTAAATTATTTCTGTTTTGCAATGGCGTGATTAACTTTAACTCGGTAGGTAAATATGTTTTAGGTACTTGAATTGAAGTGCGATTCAGGCAGGTTCTGTAAAGTATCTCTCCTCTTTTTTATAGTTACAATTCTACACCTGGATCCAATCCAAGTTCCTTAAAAGTTCTTCTTTGCGCACCTTTACCCGCAGGTAGCAGCCTTCGGAATAGGTGGAATGGCCCTGGATTCAATATTCTCTTTGCCTGTTAATCAGTTGAATATAGAGTTGAGGCCACTTAGCAATGACACAGTTAATTCATTGTATTCCAGACTTATCAATTTAAAATTAATCATAATTGATGAGATATCGATGGTTGGTGCTCGTATGTTTAGCTCTGTTGATGCGAGATTATAACAAATTTTCAAACCAGACAGCCCCTTTGGTGGTATACCGATCATAGTGTTTGGTGGTTTTAGCAACTCTCACCTGTTGGAGATAGGTAGATATTCTTTCCTAATACCAATGATGCATACAGCACTTTAGTTGGTTTCCCTTTGTGGGAGTTATTTAAATACTTAAAATTAACAGAAATAATGAGATAACGGGAGGGTCAGGCCTTTGCAATTGCATTAAACCATATGGCATCTGGTCTCGAGTAATAAGCTCAGTCGAATACCAACTGAAGCTATCCTTTCAACTGCAAAAGACTCAGTTAAAGGAATTGGTATAAGTGAAAATTATAACATTTAGGAAAGAGTTAAACTTTTCAAAACTTCTGAAACGCAAGGACTGCCCTATGAATTGACACTAAAAACCTTCGCCAAATATAAAAAAAGCGACTTTTTGATGCTATCTTCAGATATTTTATGCTTTGTAGAATCTTGGAGTTATCCTTGCGAGAGTTTTGATATACCAGGATTTACTCCAATTAACGAGCTAAGGAGAAAAAGCACGGAAACAAGCAACAGAAAAACGCGGGGCATTATGATATATGCAAAGCATAGTATTACTAGCTCTAATAAATCAAAGGCTGTAAAGAAAATGTATTCAGGCCGCAAAATTTTAGAAGCGATTTTGTTTAAATGCTTCAATATTAATATTTTGGTTCTATACAGAAACAGCTTTCTCTGTCAGCCATTTAATTGTAGAACTTCAGAAAGTCCTTACTTCTGAGTTATGCAATCAAATCGTGCTAATTGTTGGAGATTTTAACATTTGTTTAATGTCTACAGGGACTACAATATGAAATATGTTCCAAGAAAAAAACTTTAGTTCCCTGCTTGGTGTAGAATATTCAACTACACCTGCCGGTACACAAATTGATTGGGCATTTTCCAACATGGATCCATCCCATGTTGATGCAATTACTTTTGAGACCGAAATTTTAAATAATATGTATAATTTGTTATTATATAAGACATTATTGTATAAATATATGATTGAAATTAATAAATTATTAAATTGATTAATAGAAAAGAAATATAATTTGAATATATGTACAAGAATCTCTATAAAAATGTATGTTTAATATTGTAAATATTATATACAAATTAATATAACAATATAATTTTTAAAGTTGTTAATATTTATTATTTTTAAGCTAAATATGTATAATAATATCGATGTAATAAATAAAAAATGTTATTTATTGTCAAAAAACGATTTATTTTCATACTCCCCAATACAGTTGTAATTCATGCTATATAAAATAAATTATAAGCGTATACAACAAAACACAAGAACGATTGCTCTAATTATTAAAATATATAAAGAAATCTCAAACGTGTATAAAATGTTCGGTTGCATCCGAACTTAGCCCTTCCCTACTTGTTTAGCTTTTATTTTATTGGAACAAAAAGCAACGAAAAAATTAAAAAAAAAAGATATTAAAAGATCACAGTAATTCACTTGATGCAACAGGAGAGTCGCTTGTGAAATTTGGCTTGCATTTACTTGTATGTTTGTATACATGCTTACTTTACAGATTTCCAGCACATTATCGACTGAATAAAGACGCATTTGGGTCTTAAATTACGTTAATTACGTTTTATGAATCCTCTTAAAATATCGGGGCTGTTTCCATGAACTTAATAATTATGACATTTTGTGGTTTCACCGATAGAAATATCGATAAATTAAATAAATTTCTTAATTTGCGGCTAGTGCTACTAACTTTTAAATTTCGATTAACAGAATTTTGTGGGCGTGGCAATGGTTAGATTTCGCCCATGTGTAATACCTACAAACCTCAGAGTATGAGAGAACATGTGTAAAATGTTTCATTAATGTATCTATTTTTAATCAAGTTATCGCTCCCAAGTAATTAAGTATTCAACTTTCCCATAATTTGGATCAGTTTGATATAATTCTATAACTAACACGATTAGTTTTAAATGTTACAATTTAAGCGTAAAAGTTGCGAGAGTATAAAAAAAGGTTATAAGCTAAAAAAATGAAGTGTTTATTCAAATTAGTGAGCAACTGTAAGTATCTGAACATATTTTATTCACTCCTAATTCCTAAAATGTATGAGCGTATCTCCTTAGTGTTTGGTTCCGTACTTCCTTCCCTTTGTCTATTCTTTTATCCCTAGATGATTTACTACTCAGTGAAAAAGGTATAAAAATTTGGATATACCTTACTTTCATCAAAGTTTTTTTTCTGTTATGATAAAAAAATACATGATGATTTTGTTTTTCAGTCGTTTGATTGACTTAATTTAATACTTAATTTAATAATAATATAATAATTTAAATAATTATCCAGGGGTATTGTGAAATTCAAGACAGATTTGCGTAGTTGCCAGAATAGCAAACCAATTCTGATTTTCAATGGTGTCACAGAATCTGATTGGATTTACGTCTTTTCGGACAAATGCAAAACCAATATTCGAAGTTTACTATTTTGAAAAAACTTACAAATGAATAAATTTGGAATCGTGTGATAATAATATATTATAATACTGAATAAAGCCTACTAAAGTTTGCAATGAGTTCCGCTATTTTAGCTTTTTTTTGTTGGAATTTTGTGTTTTATTCTTATGTTTTCCTCTATTGAAATAACGATAAATTAAATCGTAACAATTATATTAATTATTTTCTTAACTTACATTTCAAATCTGTCAACGAATATCCTTTTGCTTTGTTTCTGATAACAAAACCGATAAAATTGGATTCCGTGACACCTAAAACCGATACAAATTTCTGTTTCGAACGTCAAACCCATAATATCCGAATTCATGACACCTACTATATTGTTTTTATCGGTTTCAATTCTGATTCCGACTACTATCAGATTCTACAACACCCCTGTATATCATAAATCCAATAATTACGTCATGATTACATCTACATACCTTTAAAAGGACATCTATTATAGTACAGTACACGAAAAATACTCAAAGTAGTATTCAAGATATAACATTTAAAACATATTATATTGCATTGGGTTATGCTTTAATAAAAAATTATTTTTCTAGCATTTGATTTATCAAAGGAACAGAAACAGAATTTTGGAGATGACATTACTTGCCAGTTACGTCTCGCACGAAAGAAACGGTGGAGTTTGTTAGAAGAAAAAAGAATATGCCAAGAAATCGAACTGCAAACATATATAAATAGGTAGAAGTTATTCAATATTATAAAATTAATCGATATATATAAAATTTTAAATGGTTTGCAGGCTTATAAAACAAGATATGGATAAAAATTTAGCTAGATTGAAGATTGACGAAAATTTTAATGAACATGAATTAAAAGAAAAACAGCAAGAATTTGAGCAACAATGTGTAAGTATTTTGGTTGATTTTGAATAGGCAAATATAAATTTCCTAATTAATTTGTAAAAACCTTGACAATTTTAATTACATTATTTGTTGCCTTGAACAACATAATAAAGTTGAGTTTGTCTTCAATTTACGCTCGCAACCCTAACACTGTTCCTAAATTGTAGCGTCAGGCATTGCGTTTTATAACACTAATGCGCTCTACGACGAGTCTAGCCCTTCAAACTTTTAACAGATTTCACTCTCAATGATTATTCTAAGGAGGCAATTATGAAAAACAGGGGTAGTTGCAACATACATTCATAAAATGTTTGGTCAAAGATACTGAAGTTCAGTTGCAATTTGCAAGATTTTTTATTTCGATTTTATTATCAAGATCGCAATTGGTTAACTATAATGCCTTATTTACTAAACAGCTGAATGGAGATATACAAAGACTGTAAGGTTTAATTATATGATATAGGTATTAAGTTTGCCACGATGGTTATAACACCTAAAGGGAAACGCCGGAGACCTTATAAAAAGATCAGCGGGACGAGCTGAGTCGATTTAGCTATGTGTTTCACGTTGTTGTTGTTGTAACGGTCATAATCATCTAACGGAAGGCCCAGGAAATGAGCTGTTTCAACGGGGTCGCACCATAGGAAAATGGGTGATAGATGAGTGGAGTTTGTTGGGCATGCAAAGAGGTTAGTGTCATGCGGAGACTCATTGCATGCAAGACATATATTTGGTATGTCGGGGTCGATTCTCGATAAGTGGGAGTTTAACCTGCTACAGTATCCAGGACGAAGTTCCGCAAGAGTCACTCTAGATTCTCGTGGCACCTCGAGCTCTTCGTCTTTGATGGATGGTGGTTTCACTCCAAGTACGCCATTCACTGAGAGGGAGTCGGTGAAGGTCTTGATGGCTCCACTGTGAATGGCGGTCAGTGTATGTCTAAAGTTCGTTGCGTCCGAGGTCTGGTCGCGTACTTTCCAATGTCGTCGATGTAATCAAGGAAGGACCTCTTGATGTTCCTAGGAGGCGGTTCCGCTTCAAGCAGACGACTGCAGAGGTGGTTTCTACGAAAACATCCAGCAGAAACTGCTTGGAGAGGAGCTCGTTATGTTTTTTAACCGGAAGCATACAAGGCTTACTATGTGGGTGTTCAATTGGCGACATTAAAAGGCATCCCGTGATAGTCCGGAGTGCCGTGTTTTGATATGTCTGGAGCTTCTTCATCCAGGCGACCATATTGGTGCAGCGTGGCTTAAGATCGGCCGGCCGATTGCCTTGTAAGTTACCCGTAACGTTTCTTTTTTTTCCCCAAGAGCTGCAGGCAAGCGATTTGAAGATTTTTAGCGGCTCTGTACTTTGGCAGTTATCGCGGTCGTGTGAGCAGTGAAGGAGCACACGCTGTCAAATGTAACATCTAATTTTAAACGCCGTCGACGGAAATGTTTAGATCCATTCTGTAATCCTTAGTTCAGTTTGTAAAAATGGTCGCTGTAGATTTAGTGGGGGAGAGTGTTAGGCTCCTTGCAGAGAAGAAGCGAGAAAGGTCGGAGAGATAGCCGTTTACTTTCGAGCACATGCCATCGATTCCATTGCCCGACGTCAATATCGTGCAGTCATCAGCGTACGAGGTCATGGAAATGCCCTCTGATTGGGAGTTTCGAAATGTAAAAATTAAACAGTAGCGGGGAGAGGACACCACCCTGCGGAACCCCCTATTTAAATCATCTAAGTTTATAGTTTTGACCTCGAAACAGTATGGATGAATGCCGACCGCTCAGGTAGTTCATAGTATACCGCTTCAGCCTTGGAGAGAGCGTGGATTGTTCCATGTCCTCAAGTAGCGTTGTGTGGTTGACTGTAGTACAGTAGTCCAAAGCTTACTCACCCCGGTGGAGAGGTTGCAAGACTTCAAATGCTCTATCCATTTTGTCCGCTTATGCTGATTTACGATTTGCCGTATCTCGCATCTGAGATCCTTTATTCGGGGATTACAGGGATCGGCATGGCGTAAGGTGTCGCGATTGTTTGTTAATACAGCTGCTTCGGCTGGGAAATTAAGGCGAAGTTCCACGATTCTTCCAGCCGGTAAGAACCGTTAGCAAAGGTAAAGTCGGAAGGTTTCTCGATCGAAATAATTATGGGCAGATGGTCTGATGCGAGAGTTAGCACAGGTCGCCAGGTTATGCTATTTATCAGGCTACCGCTAGCGATGGTAATATCTAGCGAGCTATTACAAGTGCCCATAGTTCTGGTGGGGGCTGCGTCGAATTTGACTCCGGTGTTTAGTGGTTATTCCTGGGGGTGATGGAGGTACGTATAGGTGGTGGTTGTTGCAGCTGCGATACCAGCATGGGCGGTTATCGCACTATGGTGTTTTTTGACGACGCCACTATATGGAATTGCGGGGAGATGAGTCTGAAAATCATGCTGCCTGTGTGAGCTTCTTAGGGCCGTGGAAGTCCTTTCTTCGCCACTCGACTGGAATGGTGGCGCAGTGGGCGAACATGGTGCAGATTGCACAGCCGTTGAGGCAAGTGTCGCAGTAGTGCGTTGGCAGTATGGGGCCAAGTAACTCGTCCACACCCAATTCATCTAACTCCCTTTTCCCTATGGTCCGACCCCGTCGAAACAGCTTGTTTCTTGGGCCTCCCGTTAGATAACCTCGACGACAACCAAATTATAACTTATCATCCAAGCAGGAACTAGACCACCGTTACAACAACAACACTTGTGGTCCACTCCCTATGCGTCTTAAGGCCTGAGCAGGTCTCCATCCATTGCATGTGTTGCACCTAGCCGAAGTGAAGTTTGGATGGAGCCTTTTAGCGCAAATGCAGCAGATGAATTCCCCAGAGCCTGGGTTGGACTCGATGCCAGCACGGGTCAGGAGGATACGGAGCTAATCTGCTTCTAGGCGTTGCTCTAATGACGACAAACTTAAACTAAAACTTCCCGATCCAAACAGGGTTAGATCGCCGAAATAACAGAATCCGAAAAAAAAGGATCTATGGTCCGATATCAATTTGATTTTTACGTTCGTCTTTTCCTTTCGAAAAAGCTGCACATTTGTCGGAACCGCCGATATTGAACCACTATAACCAGTTTCCACGACAGTCCGGAACGGATCCAAATTTTAATTTAGCCAAGGACTGTCACCTCGGTAGCATTCTTCATAATTATTTCAGGAATGTTTTTGCCACTACAATAACAACAACAGCTACAACCACTATAGCTTATAGCTGCCATGTAAACTGAACTATTAGAATAAATTCCTTGTATGGAAAACTATTTATTTGAATAAAGATTATTATTGATATAAAGATATTTTTGAGTTCGGACCACTATAGCATATAGCTGCCATATAACTAGGACGGTCTAAATCAAGTCCTTGTATGAAAAACTGTTTTATTTGACAAGATATCTTCACGATTTTGCACAGATTGTTGTTCAAGGCAACGCTTATCTCCGAAGAAACTAAGCGGTTCGGATCCATAGGGGTATTACAGTTTCAGTGTAATCGAAGTTAACGTTTTTTTTTTTTTTTTTTTTTAATTCATAATATTGTTCATTCTCTATTTACAGGATGATCACATTAAGGAGCTTAATAACATTTTTGCAAAAGTGGATGACAGAAGACGAGTGAGTTAAATATATTTTTAGCAATTAAAATTAAGAGTATACACATGTTTGCATACTTGTATAAATTCTAATACGTCCGTTGAGCCTACTTATAGAATAGCCATCAGTTGTAAAAACAAAAACAGTAAAGAGAAAAATTATTGAATGCAAACAACACCATAGATTTATTTAAAAAAATATTTAAATAAATAATAAATATATATAAGATTGAAAAAGTTAAAAAACATTAGCGTTAGCAAACACCAGAAAAATAAGCAAAATCAGACGTTCTGTTTACGAACTAGTGTGTGTTTGTTGACTTTCTTAAACCTATTGCAGTTGAGCACGATTACGTCAAGTGTAACAATTAAGTGCATGTATATTTTCATACGTAGGTGCATTGAGAAACTTATTCCCAAAACGAGTTTTGAAAATTTTAAGTTAAACGATAATTTTTTTAAGAAAATTTCAGGTACTTTTATTTAAAAAACTGTTTCTAAATCAACCGATAAAGATAAATTAGTAAAATTTTCAGGAAAGTATTTTTTTAACATATTGAAAAATAACTATAAGTAATTTTTTTATTATCATTTTGTTAATTAACTTTTAAGTTAATAACTAAAAATTTTAGTAACTTCTCAGTAAAAGTATGAAGTAACTGAAAAAAAGTTACAAGCGTTATTTAACCATGTTTAAGATTCCGTAAAAAATTTGCTCGCAATTAGTTTAAGGGGGTATTCTGGTTTAGAAGACCTTAGGCTCTTTTTCGGATTCGATAAAGAAAAACAAGAGATATTTTTACCATACGTTTTTTTATATGTTTTTTTATTGATATTTAAAGAGTACAAATCAATTATCATATTATACCGGCAAAGTGGGGACTGATAAAAAAATGGCGTGTCCTGGTGTGCAGGATATCAGGACTCCCAGTAACCTGAAATAGAAATTGTTAAGTGATACTTAAAGAGGAAGGATGTAGTTAAAGCACTACGAGAGGATTTTGGAAAAAAAAAGTTCACAAAATTGCGGCTATTGGTAAAATATGTATCATTATTTCCCTGTTTTTTGCCGTTCGGAATGTTTTAAAAATATAAAAAAAAAAATGTTTTCCAAAAATCCTCTGGTAGTGCGATAGAATAATGTGTAAAGCTAAGAGACATATTCTTAAAGGGTTATACTACAATAATATGCCGCAAAACAATTGATTTTTTAAATTTCTAAACCAGAATACCCCCTTAAACAATATGCATTTTTTTACAGCGTACCGAGCGCCAGTGCTATAAGAACAGAGAACAACGGGGCAAACTGCTTTGTTGTTTCATTTTATTATAATTACAAATTTATATTTATAATTTTTTACATTATATTATTTATTATTATTAGTACAATAATGTCGTTATCTTTATTTTATTTGTGTTAAGATTTTGTTCGTAAAAACTACTCATCTTCCGAAACAAGCTTACATTGCAGTGATACCACATCTAACGATTGATAATAATGGAAATAATGAGTCTTTTTAATTGTAACTTATACTTTCGTTCATGTAGGTCATGATCTTTTTGGGAACGGAAAGCATAATAAATGCTCCACTGAAAGAAGGAATGTGGGGTTGTTATGTGATTACTACTGGCGTACGGATGAAGTGTAATCTGATCATTGGACCAATGATACGATTGAATAGCATCTTGCACAAAGAACTAATATTTTTCAAAAAAATCGAAATTGAGAAATAAGACTCTTGGGATTTATCCACGAAATCATGGTTCAATAGCTCTGAACACTTATTTTTTAGCGCGCTTAAATTATCTTCTACCTCGTATACCAATACGTCGCTTCAAAGATTTCAGTCCTGTATAATTAAAAACGAATGTGTTAGGACATTAATTGTGTAAAATATGGAAAATAATAATAGCTAGGCAAATTTATGCAATCAAATTCGATGATTTTATACCAATAATGTCAATGTGAAACATTTTAATACTCTTGCAACATGTTGCTACAGAGTATAATGGTTTGGTTCGCCTAATGGTTGTTTGTATGACGTAAAACTAATCGAGTTATATATATATAAATAAATGATCAGGATGAAGAGACGAGCTGAACTTCTAGAAAATGGGTGAAATCGGGTGACTACTCCGCCCACTCCCAATGTTGTTGTTGTAGCGGCAGAAATCTGCCGATTTGACAGTCCTTGGCCGGAATAAACCCGGGTCTGTTCCGGTTACGTAGACCCGACTGTCGTGGGAACGGCGCCTACTCCCGATATAACGGTACTGTTAAAAACTACTAACTCCCCATATAACGGTACTGTTAAAAACTACTAAAAGCGATATATCAAGCACTAAACACGCCAGAGATATTAAATTTTATCACTGGGATGATATGAGATGACTTTATAGGAATATAGACAGTGGTCGTGGCACGGCCCTCTTTTAGGTGAAAACCCATACATTATATAATATATAATTATATAACATATATTATATAACATATAATTATATTACCCATATAACATCATTTTAAATTCTATCTGATTCTTTTACTTTCCACCTTTCAAATCAAGCAACATTGAATAATGCTTTTAAAATATGTCACCTTGTGACCAAAAATTGTCTAAATCGAACCAAGGCTTTTCAAGCTTCTAGGTACTGACTATGTGGACCCCAGTGCCTATAGTTGACTTTTTACCGAAAACATCGGTTAATGTGTGAGATATATAACTGCAATTCATATTATAAAATAAATAAAATAAACTCTCGAAAATAAGATGTTTTTGTGTCAAAAATGGGTTGAATCAGATCAATACTTCCTTTGTGACAACACCTTAAGTAATTTCCCTGGCTCTGATCTTTGCAAGTTGCGAGAGTATAAAATGTTCGTTTACACCCGAACTTAGAACTTCCTTCTTTAAAAGTGTGTACTGAATTTAAGTTTTTATATATATTTTTTTTTGGCCCTCGGTACTTTTCCATTGGCAATGTTAAAAGATATTTCCTTTATCTCATGACTATCGGTCAACAACCTAACATTTCAATGATGAAATCAACTTCAGGATACTTTTTACACGTAGAAAAAAAACAAGCAAACAGCTTTCAATGAAGATATCAATTCCATTTTTTTAGTTCATTCTTAAGCCTTTGTAATTGTAATTTTACAATCTGGTGTATTTTGTATACACACACGTTATGTTTTCTCGTGGTCGTAACGTTTGGAATTTAGTCTGTCCAAATTTTTTTATATACACATAGCCAATAAAGTTGCGTTCACCCGACACATTTTTTTAAGTGAAGTAAGAACACAATGTAAATAGGTAATTCAGTTCAAATTTTCTACAAGTATTTCTTCTTTATATTCTTAAGTTCAAAATGCAAAAACAAAAATGTATATTCCTATTTTAATTTTTGTGTTAACGGGATTTTAGTGTAAAAACAAGTAAATATATGCACCATTAAGTCTGCGTTCAGTTAGCTTGAATAGGAAATACCGTTACTTCTCATGAATTTGTTCCTTCTTTTGGCGTAGATACAATTTTGTTTTAATATAATTAGTCGTTTAAAGTGCTCGTAACGCGTTTTAATAATGTTTAAAAAAAATGGAAACCGAAGGAAAAGAGATTAGTCTGTCGGAAAGAAAAATTATCATTAAGTTGTGGAAGGATGGGAAAGTTTCAGAAAAATAGGGCAAACTATTGGAAGAACGTATTCTTCTGTCCAGCGCGTCGTAAACAATTAAAAAAAAAACCGTAATTTTAACGTCAAAACCGCGATCTGGCCGTCCGAAAATATTATCTGCCCGGGAAAAACGGAAAATAATAAATATAGTGAAAGTTAACCCTCGAATTACGTCCACAAAGATTATTGAAAACGTAAATATAACCATTAAAAAAACAATTTGTGCCGAAACTGCTAGAAAAATTTTACGAAAAGCTGGATATCATGGTAGAGTCGCTCGAAAGAAACCATATATTTCACAGGCGAAAGCGCATTGAATTTGCTCATAATTATATAATCTAGTCGCCGGCATTCTGGAGACAAGTAATATTTTCGGATGAAAGTAAATTTTGCATTTTTGGCATAAAAGATCGACAAATTGTGTGGCGCAAGTCAGGAACTGCCCTTGAAAAGCAAAATCTTGTTGGTACAGTTAAACACGGAGGTGGCGGAATTATGGTGTGGGGTTGCATGGCGGCTGGTGGTGTGGGTCAGCTTGAATTTATTGAATCCAGAATGGTTATTTGAACATTTTAAAAAACAATTTTAAACAAAGTGCAGAGAATCATGGATTATCAAGATAATGACCCGAAGCATACTGCGGAAATAGTGAGATTTTAGCTCTTGTACAATGCTCCTAGACAACTTGAAACGCCCCCTCAATCCCATTGAGCATCTATGGGATCTGTTGGAAAAAAGAATTCGTCAGCATACAATAACAAGTAAAGAGGCTTTGCGAAGTGTTATAAAAGGAGAATGGTCCCAGATTACAGCTGAGGAAACAGATAAGTTGGTAAAATCAATGCCAAATCGATTGAGCGAGGTTTTAAAACAACGCGGGTATCCAACAAAATATTGAATTTAATTTTTCTTTATCATTTTTAATACTTTTGTAACTAACTTTAAAGCTGAACGCAGACTTAATGGTACCTATGTTTACTTCTCTTTACACTAAAATCCCGTTATCACAAAAATGAAAATAGGAATATACATTTTTGTTTTTGCATTTTGAAGTTAAAAATATAAAGAAAAAATACAGTTTGGAAATTTGAACTTAATTACCTATTTACATTGTGTTTTTAATTCACTTAAAAAATAGTTTCGGGTGACCGCAGACTTTATTGGCTATGTGTATATCATTGATATTAAAGAGCAATAGTCTTTTCTGCTTTTGAATTTTTATACCATTTTTCAAAACCGAAAGGTAGTCTTTAATTCCAGGTATCATACGGCTAACATCATCAAACAAGTAAACAATTTTTACGCGATCGAGTGTTGAACTGTCCAGACCTTTCCCTTTTTAGTGTCAGG